TCATGTTCTTCTTTTTGCCCTAAACCTTTTTCGTTCCTCTGTACGCAATATTACAACACATTTCGACGAAAACAATTTCGTTTTACTTTACGGCATAAGGAATCAAAGAAAGAAACGAAACGCGGTTAGGACGTGGGTTCTTCTTCTTTTTTGACTTCTATTGCCCAAGTTTGTTGGGATGATTCGGTGACTTTTCTTTATAACCTGGATGGGAGCCTTAATTAAAAGGGAAACGGATCTGCAATGCGGAATCCGTATTAACCTATACGTAATGGAATAACATATGACAAATCCATATACGTCCGCTTAAAATGAACATTATTTCCCAAACTTATAGGCACTGCGCCTCTATCACTTCAGATAAGAAATATACAAAACACTATTTTAAATCAAACGACACTAATTGCAACCGATTTCTACATTTTATGAAACCGGGTAGTTATGATTGTAAGTGACCACACGTCCAATAGCCAATGGGCGCGTCTTAAGTTTAAAGTCTCATATTATTTCTCTGGATTAAGGGAATGGTTGATATTCTAAGTACTAGTAATTACTCTCTCGCATAAGAAACAAAATATATCTTACGAAAACTAATTGGGTCCTACTTCTGGCATAGTCGGAAGCCCTTGCGAAAGTCTTTTACTTTACGGCACAACTGCGTAAACTGCCGACCCAGCCAAGCGCTCGAAAATCACGAAATATCAAAAACAGTACTTCAACCGAATGAAGATTTTATCATTATTTATACAGAATACTACAAAGCCCAAAATGAAACTGATAACCAATCGCAAAACACAATCGTAACACAAGCGTATCTAAAATTGGTTCTAAATAACATAATTATCGGCTTTAAAATGACAACGGTTTTCCGAAATGTCGACTGTCAAACAGCCGTTCTTTCAACCAAGAATCGTGAACCTAATAGGATTGGCCAATCCCATAAGACACAAAAGTTATGTCTGCTCAGTTCATTTTCCTGAAAATGATTACGAAAGAGAAATTTAAGAAGGATTATCTAGATCAAAAAGAAAAAAAACTGGACTCGAGCCGAAATAGCTGTAGCATTTACGTTAAGATATTACAGTAAAAAATCTTACCTTTATCTAAGAAGTAAATTACATTATCCACTACCAGCACTTTCTTCCTTAAGAAGATGGGCTTCTGAACTTCATTTAAGTCAAGGCATATTATCAGATGTTTTGCTAATTTTTAAGCTAGCAGGTGAATCACTTTTTACTTTTAAAAGAACGGTTGTTTTACCGTATGATGAGGTTAAAGTGTAGGCTGTGGAAGAATATAATGACGCTCAAGATGAAATTTTAGGTCCTTTAACAAGTTGCAAGTTGTTATGGCTCGAGGCCTACTTTCAAACTGGAAGCAAACTATTATTATTGGTTTTGACGAAAAAATAACCAAAGAAAATTTTGTTGAACTTCAGAAAATATCTGTGTAAGTAATTGTGGTGCAAGTAATGTAGGACTATGGAAAGTATTAAGCATCGGTATAAATAACACGTCATTTATGTTGCATCAGGGTTTTGTTAGGTGGTCTGTGGTGTTCTTATTCTATGGTCTAGAGAGGTCAGAATGTGGGACTCTCGGCCTGGTATCTCGGGCGCTTATGTCTGAACCTTATGACGCAGATTAAATAAAGGACTTATAGTGGAGTTATCTTTTATTATAAAAAGCCTAAAATACGACAATTTAGGCATCCCATTTCCAATAATAACATTTATATGTTAATTATTGCGTAACTGGCTCTTAGATAGGGGATTGACGCTAACGGACAATTTAATTTTAAATAAAAATCATCTTCACGCTCTGGTCTCCTTAACCGATACTGAAGTCAATTCTTGTAGGAAAATAAACCAGAAGCGTTTAGATGTTGAAAAAACAAATCGTCAAAATGTGCGACGTGCTGCGCAACTTCTCTCTAATAATGTTTCTACTGCCCTTTTATATCATAAGTCGGGACAAGATAAGAAAATGGCAGAGGATTTAGGAAACTTTATAGGTGATGTTAATTTATGGTTCGATATTTTTAATAGCCATGTTCCAAACGGGAGTGTGCCGTCAAAAAATGTATGAATTAATTTAACAAAAACACGCTAATGACTTTTCAAAAAGGCATATTAATGTCAATTATTTCCTTACAAAATTTGTTTGAAGGCATGAAGTCTACTTTAGATATTAAATAAATGAAATCAGGATAGTTCGGAGAAGTTTTTTTTTTCAAATAAGAAGCTGAGGGGTCCAGTAAACGGCCCCAACACCTCTTGGGGCCGTTTACAGAATTCGTATGACTCTGTTAGGAAAAAATCCTGGTATTCAAGGTTCTTAAGTAAAAAAAAGTTTTGGAAACTGCACAGGTTGACATTAAAGGCACAATTTACAATTTACATAATAAGTCCCAAAGTAGCTCATCATTTTCATTAGTTTCCTAAGGATCAATCTGATTTTAATCAGGGTGCTAAGGAAACTACTGAAGATGCTTTGGAGTACATTGCGGGCTACTTAGCTAAAAAACACAAAACAGATATCCCCAATCATTACAGCATTCCGTCTTGGGTACAACAGTTATCATATGGGGGCCTTATAAAGCCTGATCATTTTTTGAAAAAAAAAATAAAAAATGGAATTCTTCTTTGAACCCCATCATGGTGATCGTTTCGAAAAGGGCAAGGGGTGGTAAAAAACTTAGCAAAAAAAAAAATATATTTAAAACAGAAAAAGAATTACCATTTAGTTTAGTTAGAGATTTTTGTAAAATGAACTTCAGAAATTTAAAAGCAAAATATAACGTCAGACTTAAAATAAAATCTTTGCAAGATGATACCCGCAAAAAAACAATTAGAAGGTATGGTAAAATTGTAAAATAGAGATTTAAATATATGTAGTAATATTTATTTTTTATATTATGTACAAATACATATTATTTACCTACCACCTATAAATAGTTGTTATGTATTCCTAATATATTTTTTGTTTTTTAATAAGTTCTTTAATATATCCAAAAATGGGGATTTCTGGTTTATAAGTATTTGTTGATTTTTGTATAATTAAAATGGCAGAATGCCGTAAAACACAAAGTTTTACAAGTAAATCGTTGTGTTCGCTAGTTTTATGTATTTATGTGTAACAATATTTAATTCATATACGTATTTCAAAATATATAAGCCAATAATTATTAAATAAGTACTAAAATGATTTAATGTTGACATACAGCCACAAAAAGTAGAAAATTAAATTTATTGGAAGCCATGGAGATTAACAAAATGAGACATTGAAATGTATTGCTTAACGATCAATTAGATTTAAATTCCTCTCCTTTATTGAACTTAAATTCTCACAACAACTTTAATTAAAGTTTTATGGTCATTTTTCGGTATATATAGTACCAGGTAGTTTGTAAATATTACATTTGATAAAGACACGGTGTTGTCGAAAATCTGAACTTTTAGTTCTTATTTATTTTGAGTAAAAAGTTGTTGTTGGGCGTAATTTCAAATACTAGATACAATATGTAAAGAAAAAAGCGCTTGTCGTTTGATAATTCCCTCGAGGTGTAAGAAGATTAATTGCCGTTTATTATTATGAGCCTTTGTCCGAAGATCGTGGAGGACATCGCGAATTCACGAATGATCCCGCAAAAAAAACGTCCGTTTAAGCGTTGCATTATATACGGAACGTCGCTCTCTCCTTTTTTTTTACCCGAAATGATTTATTATATACCGGTAATTAGCGTTTCTTTTTTTTCCCACCTCTTTTTATAACCGCGTTCGCGTCATGGCCGCGCGCGTTGCATCAAGGTCGCGATTTCGAGTGCCAAAAATTAACACGTTCGACGCCGTAAATGGCCCTCCCGAAATTCGGTGATAACGATGGCCGACGTTATCGTCGAATTAAAAAGCAACGGTCGAGCATGAATCTGCCTTTCTAGATAAAACAAACAAACAAACCTTGATCGAGGACCGATTTAATTGCACGCTTCGTTGTGTTAGATGTCGGTGTCGAAATAAAGATACGGAACTCGGCGTCCCGCGTAAAAACAATGGCGCGAAACGAAATTGGGATATTTTCCATCCGTTTTGGTTTTTCTAAAAAAAAAACTAAATCACGTAAATAGCATTAATAAACTTTAAGGCGTCAGTTTAAGCGAAAGACCACAAAAACATGGATTAATTTCCTTTTTTAGGATAAAATGTAAACAACTCAGTCGTTAACCATTTTTGTCTTCCGCGCTAAATTTAAGGGCATCACCAAAGTGCTTTTTTTACTGCAATTGGCCACGACTGCCAACGAACGAGGGTAGAAACTGGCATAATACATTTTTTTTAGGGGTCCGTGGTCACACGGACGGCCGATTCGCGATCTCCGAAGTTAAGCATCGTAGGGCGAGGCAAGTTTTTGGATGGGCGGAATTTTTTTTTTTTGTGCCACGAACTTGCATTTTTTACAAACATTGTCTGATTTTAAGCTAATGCTCGGATGTGTTGTATAAATAGTCCGAAGCTTGGATTTAAGAGACAATCTGTCAGTTGACTGATGAATTGAATATAGTTTTTGTAACTTACATAGCTCGCCGAACGACACAATGACAGATCTTAAATATTTGCTTGAGTTTAATAGGTAATAATGCGTAACTCACAAACATATCCTGGAAAACGTTCCACGCAAGGATAAAAGTTTGGCTGGACAAATTGCCCGACCTTGACAGTCGAGCCGAGCGATTTAAAATTAAAACCCATCGAAGCCTTAAAGAACAAAGGTTTTGGGGGAAAAGGGGGGGGGGGGACCTTGCCGATAACATGTGGCAACCTCCGTCGAGGATATTGCGTCGTGCGGACGGTTTAGCGTCAACGCTAGACCACCGTCGTCTGGCCTGACCGCGAGTTCGGCTCCCGAACTTCTTTTTCCTTCCCGTTAAAAGTTGACGCCAAGCACTTGTTCTTCAATTATCGGGATTTTGGGTAACTTGTGAAAACAATAAAAAAAGCTGTGCATAATAAGTAACTTTATTTACGAACTAAAATATATAAACAAGAAGAGACTAAAATTGTCATTCTTTATAGAAGTTTTCGCTTGCTTTAAATATAACGTTCGCAACGCTTGACGTTTGTCTTCTTTTGGCACGGGGTACAAAAAATAAAGTTCAAAAATATAAAATTTGTCTTTGGCCATTCGATAAACCTCCGACTATTGAACAGGTTGAGGTACTGCGCACCAGGACAATAGTCACAGGACGTATTGACTGTACCCGTATGAGTATTGTGCTCCCACTATCTCCAGATCTACAAAGAAACAAAGAACACACTTACCGACATTTGATAATGCCAATTACCAACTAAAAACCGCCAAAACGACTGCACTAAATAAATTATTTTACCTTGCACCACAATTCGGACGATTTCACAGCTCCTCCGGATATCGAACCTAAAGTTATAGTTATTTGTTCCATTCTGCAGCTGCGACCTTGCATTTCGTACATATGAAATCTTTTTGTTTAACAGAAAGCTGCCTAGTTTATTGCGCATTTCCTGCCATTATTGGGGATACGTCTTACGGCTTATTACCGTGGCGGTTAATTATTTGCTATTGTTTAAACTAACGCAATTCCACGAATGACTTATAACGCCAAAATGTGAGGTTATGCCGTCGCTTCTTCGCCGTTATTTGGGATTGGAACTTTAAAACACGTTATATTCAGATAAGTATTTGTATAGCCACAGACAAAGCAGACACGTTTCCATCCGCAGAATATCCCACAAGGGTACGCAAAAATTGCAGAGCGAAGCTCGCGGGCCGGTCAGACGCCATCTCGCGGTCGATTTCGTCGCGCTACGAGAAAAATGCACGGGCTTCGGCACTTTCGATCGGCCGCGAATTTCACCGATAAGATGCGTGCGAGAAGTCGCAAATGCGTGCGTGTCGTGCCGCTCCCGCCGCCGATGTGAATGCGACCGTTGCGCGCGCTCGCGCCTTTAGACCAAGTGCGTGCGGGCCAGAGATCTGACGCGTTTCGCGGATCGAACACGAATCGAGACAGCCGCGATGTTGTGCGTTGTTGCATCCGGGTGATCGGCAGAGCGCGCGTTCACGGCCTGCCTGGATGTGTTGTCGACGTAAGTTTAAGGGTTGCTATGTCGGTTGTCCGCGTTCGTTTCGTGGTCCGTGTTCGGCGGTTGAGTGCGACGTTTGCGCGTCCGCGTCCGAAATCTGGTGGTTTCGAGGCGATTTACGCGTGATTAGCATATGCACGCTCGCGTTCCCGATTTGAAATTCAAAACGCACGGGGCAAAACTTTCATCGTCGTCGCGATGAAGGACGAGGATCGCCGAGCGTTGCACACGCACGCACCGCGCGAGGTCGAAATGCGCCGTTGCCAAATCGGCGCGTAAATACGGGACTAAGTATTTTTTCCCAACCAAAAACAAACGTCAGACCTCTCTGTCACGCTCTTGTAAGATGAAAGTCCCTAGCATGTATTTATTATAAATCATTTTTCCTGTATACTTAAGTACGTCCCATTATAAATTACTGAATGGATAGCTTTGTTAATATTGATCCCACGATGAAGTTTGAATTACCAAAGTTTTTCCTAAAAATGTAAAATAATAATTTTATCTGTCAAATTTTGACATTCCGACATTTTTTTGAAAATTGAATTTCCTGTATTTGAATGTGTCAATCGATTCCATTCTTTCTCCTGATTTCAAGTATATATCAGTAACCATTGTTTAAAAAATCAGATTAGCCATGCAAACGAAATTGTTTGTTTTTTTTTTAAATATGGCAACAGAGTTTATTTGTTGTATGATTTTCTATTCTGTAATATTGGTAGTTATTATGACATTTTTAGTTAAATATATTTTCACTTATCAACAACATATTACTTACTTATCACTTATAACAATATTACATACTTAAGTATTATTAAATAAGTGTATTTCAGAAAAGATGTTCCAGACCACCATACGCGAAAAAATTTGTGTAGGTTTTCTTATAAGAGGTTCTGGTGTCAAGGGGAGTAAGGTCTGGACTGTTAGGAGGCCAGAGTATTACATATGCATTTTCTCTGTTTGTAACATGCTACTAAACGAAATGAAAGATATGGTATGTACTGGCTACACTCTGTATTCAGGTATATAGGTACTTTCGACATTACAGATAAATTCAAATTCAAAAATTCGTTAAAAGTGAATTTTTTTCAGTTCGATCATAGAAATGAGAATTTATGAGGTAATTAGTTTAAATCATTCATTGCGACAAAAAAAATTGAGAATCTAAGTATTGTAGGTTCTCTCTGAATAACAAATTATATTGTACAAAAAATATGATACAATATGTTCATGAATATTTTAATTATTTTATTATAAATTAATCACCGGTGAGAACAACCAATACCAAACATAAGAAATCACAGTTAAGACAGAACCACCCTCGTGACCTCCCAGGTATTTTTACCATTCACACAAGTGACGGTATTTTTCCCAAATTTATTTTTAAATTTATGTTTTCCAGTGCTTTACGCTTTGCATCTAGATGCGACTCTAATTTATCTAAACTACTGGCAATTGTCGCAAGGTCATCAGCAAAAGCACATTGTCCGATTCATATTGTTCGACATATTCTCTATTCTCACCTCTTAATTTTTTTATTCTTTCCTTCTCTTAGACTAACGGACACTTTTTCTCTAGAACAGCTGTGGTTCAATCTCTTTCCTTAGTCTCTGCTGACACTTGTTAAAAATTATCCTAAATAAACATATATATCAGAAGTTCTTTCTTAGCAAAGCAGGTACAAACATTGCATTATTCGTTATATATTACAAAATGTCTACATTAAAGCAACTCACAAGTAATAACAGTGGTTAATTTAAACTTTTAACAAAATGTTGTCTTGGAATTTCCCATCGAACAATAAATAAAACTAAAAATATCTCTATTTGCGTATTTTATAGAATAAAAAAATTCTTTTATATATTGGTGCACGGATGAATAAAAGGTATGTTTTTCGTAATGGTGTACAACAAATGTGATATTCTGGACAAATTTATTCACTTATATTACAATCATAAGCTTTCAAATATGTGGTCCATTCCTGTTTTCTTTGTGGTCTGTGGTCTGTGCTCTAGTTCTTCTTCTTCTGCATCATTAGGCCTTCTACTTATTTTTCCACTCTTATTACTATTCATGCTAAATTATAATATAGACGGTTAATACATATGTGTAATATGTATTATAGCAAGTAATAATATATATAGTATAAATTATAGCACACACGTGTGTGTCGTTCAACTGCGCGCAGTGGCAACATTGGCAACGTGCCGCGAAGTGAACGTCGACACGCTGCGCATTTTTTTTTTCGTCCATCTGCATTCGCGGTTGCCCCACTATTGCACTCGCGGTTAGATCGGGTAACGGGACCGCGTGAAACGAGCCCAATGCACGCCGAAAAATGACGAAACGTCCGTAACCGGGGCCCCAGTGCCGGCGTCGCGGGTCGCACGGACTACAGAATTATCGCCCGACCAACCAACATAGCGCACCGACCTGAGGTTCGCGTCGCATATCGTTGGGGTGGTTTTTACGGCGGCTCTCGTTTAAAAACGGAGTTTTAGTCTACAGATGGAACGTTATAAACTGTTTGTCGGTTATTTGCCGCCGTTTTTTACGTTTTTTTTTAAACTAAGCCTCTTATTTAAGAAAAAAAAAACAAACTGTAGGCAATTAAAACATTTCTTCATTTCCAAAAATCTCTCCGAAAGCATAGAAAAGGCGGGTTTTTTGGACATTGGAAAACACACCTTCCGAAAAAGAAAAGTTTATTAAATACGTCAGCGGAATTATTTTTTGAAGTAGAACAATCGATTTAAAAAATATTGTATTTTTAATCTGATTAATGTTAAAAAATTATATAATTTTGGTTTATTTCTCGAAAATAATTGAAAATACAAAAAATGTCAGCATGCCTGCGTAAAAAACGGCACTTTTTTATTTTGTAATAAGCTTTAGCGAAATAGCCCGTGAAACCATAGAAAAATGAACTTCGGTATATATACCATTGTTTAGTGTCCGTTTGATTAGAAAATCAAACACAGCTATAGTTAATGATCTCTAAATAGATTTGAGAAATATTAGTTCACATAAACGATTGACATAATAACTAAAAAAATGTTAATATAATAATTAATAATTTGAGGGAATTTGTCAGAGGTACAGAACGCACAGTGTTTTGATTTTTTTCATCTACAGAGTTTTTCCTATAGTCTAATGATAAACATTGCCAGTTTTAGGTTTTTTAAAAAGTTCAAAGTTCTTATAAATAAAAGTTAAAAAGGTTTTGCTAATATAATGATGACAAAGTTTTTAATAGTAATGGAAAAAAATCAAATTAAATATTAGAATATCATAATATTTTGATATCCAGTACCTCTAGTTTACAGATTGCCAATTTTTGATTAATCTCCCTTTATATCAGATGTTTCGATTTCCCCCGTTACGGAAATTCTAACTTAGTAATTACAACTCTGTTCTCAGAACAAGAACAAGTCAGAATTGTTTCTCAAATATTTTCACTTGATTCTCAGAAATTATTACTTCAGCCAGTAATTATGATTTTTTTCTCAGAATTCTGACTCATACTCAGAAATGAAAAAAACAGAAAATCTTATTTCTTTCTCAGAACTTCTTACTTGTTTCGCAGAAATTCTGATTTATTTTTCAGAAATTGTGACCTAACAGGGAAATTCTGACTTGTTTTTTATAAATTCGGATTTACGTAAGAAATCTTGACTTATTGTTATTAATTCTGAATTGTTTCTCAGAAATTGTTTGCTTCAGCCAGCAATTATGACTTTTTTCTCAGAAATTCTGAATTGTTTCTTAGAAAATCTTACTGTTTTCTTAGAAATTCTTACTTAAATCTAAAATCCTGATTTTTTCTCAGAATATGTGACCTGGCTCAGTAATTATAACTTTTTTCTCCGAAATTCTTACTTGTTTCTTAGAAATACTGAATAAGTGAGACATTCTGAATTGTTTTTTTGAAATTGTGACTTAACTCAGAAATTCTGTTTTTTAGAAATGTTTACTTTTTTCTTAGAAATTGAGACGATTCAAAAATTATGACTTTCGTCTCAGAAATTATGATTTGATTGTGACTTGTTTTTCATAAATTTTAATTTAAGTAAGAAATTTTGACTTGCTTCTATTTTTTATTTATTTTTATTTTTTTCGAGTGACCTTTCAGCGCTTTCGCATTCTCCACATTATCTGTTGTATTTTATTGTGTTTTACTGACGATACTGTTGTTTTGACCTTAGTTGGCCGGTGCCAGTGGCGTCCGAATCCCGTTTTTTTTTTTAACGGTTGCCCCCTCTCTTTTGTTGCAGCTCATAATATTTTTCATTCCGGATTTGAGATGGACTCTCAGCAACAGCAGTTCTGCCTGAAGTGGAACAGCTTCGGGTCAAATTTGGCAACGTCGTTCAGCAACCTGTTCAAGTCGGAAACGTTGGCCGATGTTACGCTGTTCTGCGACGGTAAGCAAACCTTTCCGGCAGGCGGTAACTGTTTGACCGTGGTCCAATGTTGCCGGCTCGTTTGCTTATGGTGTTATTCTGTTGTTAAGTAGATAGAGGGGAGAGAGTATATAAAAAAAGATAAACAACTTGGCAACAATGGACCGCTGTCAAACATTTACCGACGTTATGTGCATACGAATTTGGCGGAGGAATGAGGCGGCGTCGAGCCGCCGCTGGGATCGCGCGTTTATGGAAGCGTGGAAACTGCGGCGGAAACAAAAAACTTCGGACATGCAACTACCGACGAAAGGAATCGAATTTCGTGTAATTAAGCAACCAAAATTTACCGTTTGTTGGTGGATAATCGTTTTCGCGGCGTTGCCGCTACAAAAAAATTGTTTACCTCTCGTTGCCAAGCGAAATCGCAAAAAATTGTTTATAAAACCGCTAGTGCTGGTGCGATATATTTTACTTATATATGCAGTGTGTTCCGTTGTAGTCAGTAGCCAACTTAATTTTTTTTTCAATTTGCAATATTTTTTTCTCAAAAATTGAAATTAGCTTTAGCGTAAACTACTCTAGATAAGGAAGCTTTTTTGTTTGAACTAAGGGTGGGAGGAAGGTCAAATATTGGTTTAGAAAAAGTTGAATTATAGGAGCTTCGACTGTCATGTCAATATCACATTAATTTCTAATTTCTTGAAAATCTGAACTTTTGGTTATTTATTTAATAAATATAGACAATTAACTATCAAATGTAATATTTACACACTACCTGCTACTATATATACCGAAATTAAATTCTTTCGTTAAATTACATAAACAAGATACATATGCCCATTAGACCAGTCGTGTCTTATGTAACAGCTCCAGCAGTTAAACTCTCAATAAAATTAGTAACTATTTTAAAGTTCCACACAGATTTTAAACCAAAATTTGCAATAAAAAATTCTTTTGAATTAATCAACAAAATTGTCTTTTGATGTACAAAACTCAGTTCAATAAATAAAATTGTGTTTATTAAACATATTTTTAACCGTAGCTTAATTTTTTTATTCCTTCCTTCTCTTAGACTAACGGACACTTTTTCCCTAGAACAGCTGTGGTTCCAATCTCTTTCCTTAGTCTCTGCTGTCACTTATTAAAAATTATCCTAAATAAACATATATATTAGAAGTTCTTTCTTGGCAAAGCAGGTACAAACGTTGCATTATTCCTTATATTTACTAAATGTCTACATTAAAGCAACTCACAAGTAATAACAGTGGTTAATTTAAACTTTTAACAAAATGTTGTCTTGGAATTTCCCATCGAACAATAAATAAAACTAAAAATATCTCTATTTGCGTATTTTATAGAATAAAAAAATTCTTTTATATATTGGTGCACGGATGAATAAAAGGTATGTTTTTCGTAATGGTGTACAACAAATGTGATATTCTAGACAAATTTATTCACTTATATTACAATCATAAGGTTTCAAATATGTAGTCCATTCCTGTTTGTTTGTGGTCTGTGGTCTGTGCTCTAGTTCTTCTTCTTCTGCATCATTAGGCCTTCCACTTATTTTTCCACTCTTATTACTATTCATGCTAAATAATAATATAAATAAATAGACGGTTAATACATATGTGTAATATGTATTATAGCAAGTAATAATATATATAGTATAAATTATAGCACACACGTGTGTGTCGTTCAACTGCGCAGCGGCAACATAGGAGAACCCAGTGAAAAAGTTTCAAAACATTTGTCAAAATGTGGTTTAAAAATAGCTTTCAGAACTAACAACACAATAGGATAATTTTTAAAAAACAATAAAACGAAATGTCCAAAATCTCAAAAATCAGGTGTCGACAGGTTGAAATGCGGATCTTCTCCTAAAATTTATATTGGACAAACAGGTAGGTCCTACAAGAAACGCATTAACGAGCATATAAGGGCGTTTAAAAATAAGAGTCTAGATTCTAATTATGCTACACACTTAAACACAGAAAAACACATTTTTGACGACAATTTTGATATTTTACATACAGCTACAAAAAGTAGAAAATTAAATTTATTGGAAGCCATGGAGATTAACAAAATGAGACATTCAAATGTATTGCTGAACGGTCAATTAGCAATTGTCATTTGAATATATATAATTTCGTGAGAATCTGAACCCTTAGTTCTTATTTATTTTGATAAATGGATTTTCATCAAGTAAAAGCCACCTCAGTTCAATAAATAAAATTGTGTTTATTAAACATATTTTTAACAGTAGCATAGTAATAGTACCCCGAGACGACAGACGTGACGTGCGCTGCTTATATTTTCTACTAATATTTATACCATTCAATGGAGCGCCTCCTACCGATTCATAGAGAAATTGACGTTCCAGTCGAAGCTCCTATAGATACTCTTTAAAACTAAACCAAGTTGGTCGAAATCGGATTAGCCAAAAAAAATGTTTCAACGTTTTCTAAACGTATATTCAAACCTTCTCCCACCTTCAATTTGACGAGTTAGAAAAAAGTAGTTCTAACAAAACAGTTTCCTTGTCTAGAATAGATTACGTTAAAACTAATTTTGGTGTAGGTTAATTTGGAATATTTTGGAGAAAACCCGTTTTTTTTTTCTATTTTACAGCAGAGGTTACGCCCCCTAGCGGCCGTTTAGTGAACTCGAAAATAATTTCCAGCCTTTTCTTTTGTCCGATTTAATCAAAAGTCGTTTATTACTGTTATTATTAAAATTCCCAAAGTTCACTAAAATGGACGAAACTTTTTTGCGTAGATAGCAGATAGCGCAAGAAGAACGTAGAAGGAAAAAAAAACTACAAAATACGTTTTCGTATCGCCTGGTGGGTATTTTTTCTCTCTCTCTCTCTACACGTCGCGGCGTTCTCTATCGCCGACGATAACTTTTAAATACCGTCACTCGTCAACTTGCATCGCGTTTGTGCACTTGACACGCTGACCCACTTCGGTTGCACGCGTGCAACGTAGGCGCCATTTATATTTATCTCTCCCGGTTCTTTAAATCGAAAGAGCGTTGTTGTTAGAACGCAGACCACAGAGCTCCGATCTAACGAGAGGCGACAGTAGCCTAAATATGTTCCTTGTTACTTTCGAAAAATCGCTGAAGTCGAATTTTTTTAAAGCATTCGCGCTTGGCAACGAAACGTTTTAATTTTTTGTCTGTTCTCCGTTCTCTGTGCTCTGTTCTCTGTCTACGCTCCATAAAAACGCGAATAACTTCCGAACGGTTTGAGTTAGGGCGCTGAAGTTTTGCTCCTTTTAAACTGGTCTTGAGACATATAAGTCTATGGCCGCGATCAGAAATTGACATCTATCATTTGTTCGCGATTTTCCACTGTTTTTCGTACATCGGTATGGAACCGGATAAGTGTCCGAAATTTGAAGTTATCGACCTCATATTTGGCAAGCAAATAGCGTGTGGTCTCGCAACGGAACCTATTGAAATTGGGGGGGCTGGAGGGTTGGGAAGTATTTTAAAAAAATGAAAAACCGCCTTTGCGTGGGTCTAAGAAGAAAATCATTTCTCGAAAACGTTGTACCAGATCGAAAAAAAAAGTATTTCAGAAGATCCGCGAGACATTTTTTTAAAATGTACAAGGTGTGGCCAGTATTGCCAAAAAACCGAAAATGGGGTTTCTCTTTTAATGCTAATTTACCATAACTAGAAGAGTGCGATTCAGAAGTCAATTTGTTTTACACCAAAATATAGCTCTTGTAGCCAGCTAAGACTTTTGCATTTAAGGGTTCTTCCTATTGTACACGGTGTTCGCGATATACCGTGCAATATTATAAAACGTAATAGGTTCCCTAAATTTGGAGCTACCGGCTTCAGATTTAGCAGAGAAGCAGAAGTCTAGACTCATATTTAAACCATTAAAGTTAGCTGCTATCAAGTACCGCATAGTACATTTTTAAAAATTTCATTTTTTTTTTGGGGTAATTTTTTTTATTTTTTATGCCGATCGGCAAAATTCTTCAACCAGCAGACGCGGAAGATCTATTACAATTACCTTTATTTCTAGCGTTTTTTTGATTATATCCATGGTTTTTCAGTTATGGAGAAAAATCTAAAAGACCCTAAAATTTCCATACTAATTTATAATCCGTAAATCAAAATTCTTAAAATATATGGCTAATTAGTTTAAACATTGTTATAGGCCACATCGAGAGCAACAATTTTTGTATTTACGGTTTTCGTCTATCACATCCACTGTTTGAGATATAAAAAAATTTAGACGGGATGGCGTCATTTACTGTTACGACCGCATGGTTTCAGAAAACAAATATTTTCTCTAAAACTCTATTGGAAAAATTCATATACCAGGAAACGTCGGAGATCCAAGGCTATAACCTCTATTTCAAAGATTGTTTCAATTATATACAGGGTATGTTTATGGGTAATGAATCTAAAATATTGAAAATAATTCCGTTTTTGTGGGTAAATTACTTGCGATAAATGAATAACTGTTAGAGAAGGGACAATTTTATAATTTTTATTTGAACAGTATCGTAAACTGTGTCGAAAGAAAGATCCAATTTTCGTCAATAATACAGGGCGCGCGAGATATTTTCTTAATCCTAACGGCAAAATTCTTTAACCAATAGACGTGGAAGGTGGAATTTTGTGGGTTTTTCCATTTTGGACAAAAATCTAAAAGGGCCTGACAATTGTTCTTCTCCACAGGAAATAATGTCCTTGTTTCCTCATTCTCTGTGTAAGTTGCGTTTCTCTTGAAGGTTGATAGTAACATTTCATGAAAGTTTGATGTTTCCGAACCAGTAACTGGTACAATTGAATTCCAAAGGATTGTTGTAAGAACGGCTCAACGAAAATAGGACTCACAAAATTTATCTTAAAATGTGACCCAATTAGGTGACCATCGATCATTCCAAACCAAACGTTATCTGATTTAGCCAGTTAGTTTAGTGGTAGTTATTATGTAATAATTATACTTTTTTTATGGTAAACGTTTTTATCGATATACTACTTTTCCAGGTGTCACCTTCAAGGCTCACAAGCTCATCTTGGCGGCTTGCAGCAAACACTTGGCCGACCTGTTCGAGACGGCGCCGCTCCATCAAAACCTCCTGGTTATCTTGGACGGCACATCGGCGAGCAACATGGCCGCCCTGCTCGAGTTCATGTACAAGGGCGAGGTCCACGTGTCCCAGGACGCCCTGTCCAGCTTTCTGAAGGCGGCCGAGTGTTTGCAGGTCAAGGGATTAAGCATCGAACACGAGAAACTGGCAGTCGCTCAGAGTCACTCTCAACACCACCACCAACACCACCCCCACCATCACCAGCAGCAGCACCAGGGTATCGAAACCGGACCTGCGCAGCAATCCGACTCGCCAACGCGAAAACCTTTTAAGGTTAGTGCTGGAATCTTAATTTAGAGCAAATTAAATTCAGTTTGGTTAAAACCGCGTTTGGGTCTGTCCAGGTTGTCCGGAATTAGATTCTACCAAATGTATACGAGTTTAATCTATATCTGGCAACGTCGCAATTTCTTTGTGTCAAAACAATCCCTTCTGGGTAGTAGAAGAGCTAATGTTTAGCTCTCTTTGTAGTGTATCCTGCGCAATCACCATCTGATCATCTACGAAATGAAGAGTTGTATCTTGGTTCAGTTGTAATGGTATCTCACTCCATGATCGTCTCCAATTATTCAGCACAACATCACTGTCTCAAGTCTTTTGTAAGTTCGAAGCTGTGCGACAGAAACCTACATACATACATACATACATGCAGCTCATAGTACCTGTAACTGATGTGCATCTTTAGTCACCATAATTGTCCCATAGAGCTTTCTTTTGTATTGGTGTTGTTCAGCTATATATCTGAACCTTTTTTCTTCTTAGATTTTATTTATTCTCGACTCATTAATATCAACAGGCTGCCTTGGTGACTTAATTATTTTTCTCTATCCTCCGCAAGTTGTTTAGCATAGTGTCGTTGCCATTCATCCATCTGAATTGGCCGAATGTTAGCTTCGTTTGTGCTGTTTGTTCTAACGGATTTAATTAGTCTGCAGGCTTCTGAAGATTTCGTGTCTTATATATGCGAATCTACTTCCCATAGGTTTGGTCAATTCATTCTTTTAAACTGTATTGGTAGCTCTTTATACAATAATTTTCCGTCTTCGTCATTACTGGGTATCCATTGTTTTTACGCTGGTTATTTTTTATTTCCCCAGCAATTGTTGTCCGGATAACGTTGTTATTTATCGAACAAATTTGGATGGATAGTAAATAAAATTGGGTACACCCATGCCCCTTGCAATCTGTGTTCCACCTTCGACCATCCCAGCGATACGGCCTTAAAAAAATCTCCACCACAGATCCTGAAGGAAGACCCGGACAACAATCAGTCGGGTCATCGGCAGCAGTCGAGTCCGTCGCCCAGTTATTCGCCAAAGATGTCGCCGTATGTGGCCCATCACTACAGGCCCTACGACCGTATGCCGCCATCCGCCAACTCCCAATACGAGACGACGATGAAACACGCGAGGTCACCGGGAGAGGTCGCCCAGGAGTCCAGAGCTTCGGTGTTACGAGACGGTAAATAGGAACTAGCTTCAGCGTCCCAAATCCCTAATACAGGGTCCATTAGATACTACGCCCTGTTTGCTCTATCCGAATTTTGGGGTCTCTAACAATAATAATACGTTGGTGTTTGTGAACAGGTAAAAGGCCAGTCTCACCAGCTCCTTTGTTGTTAGCTTATAGACCGTCGAGTTCTTCGATCCAACATGGCGACGCCGACGATGCTTACGACGCGGAGGACAGGGCGACCGCGCTGATTTGTCCGGAGACGAATAACACGGACAGATGCCAGGACCCCAGTTGTCCCGAAGGTACTCCTTTTTTTTAAATTTAATGGGAAATCTCTCAATCTCTTAGGACAATTATGTAATTCTTTGGTGTGCTGCCATCTACAGATGAGTGGCGAAGTTCAATTCACATTCTTTCGCTGGGAATCTGTAATTTTTCGATGTCAACATGAGGCCCGATGGACAGTAAAGCAACGAAACACATTACTTATAACATAACATAGTTTTCCGTGCAGCAAATCTCCAGATTCTTGGTGATCTTTTTCTTTCTTTTCTTTCTGGAGCAACGCGATTCCAAATGTTATTAAGCCATCCATTCTTTTGCATTCTTTGGAAATATGCATACCAAGCGACCATTTTTCTTCCGATGATATCCAGAATGGAGCCAGTCGTTTTTTTCTTGTTTGCTCCGTCCTTTAACTTTTGTTACTTCTTTATTTATCGTTCCTTGTTACCGGTTTCTGATCCATGAGCGCGTTTTGACTCAAAGATGAACTTGTTTATAATTTGTTTGCTCCTTCTGGTAATTCTGCCACTCTAAAGCAGCCTAGTTAGGAGTCCTTATAACTCTTTTTCCTTGCTTTATTTTACTTGAAATATCTTGATTGCTTCAGTCTGTTTTTCGAGAACGTTATTCCTAAATGTTTGAGCTGATTAGTTAGTTATCTAAATATCTAAATCATCTTTCCAGATTGTTGGCAGTGTTCCTCGTTTCTTTGTTTCTGGAGGAACACCATTACAGATTATCTATTATCTATAAGCGCGTATTTGTTTTTTTTTCGGTAATTCTGTCACTCCAAAGCAATGATTTAGGCCGTCTTATAACTTTCATTGACCTATTTCTCTTGAAGTATCTTCGCTCTTAAATGTTTAACCCGATTGCGTGGTTTTATGGTTTGTTCGCCTCCAATATCCCAAACACTCTGACGGTTGTCACTATTGTTGTCTTTGAGCGGCAGCAATCACAAGTTTTTTTTTCATCCTTTTGATGCATCCCTTAAGTGGGTTTTGAACAGTAGAGGAGCTACCAAGAATACTTATCTTAGCTCGTGTACATCCGCGCTGTGCTAGGTTTGACTGTAGGTTGCTATCTCCACATTTCCTTCGGTGGAACTAACTGAAGGAACAATGTCTCTCCGCAGATTTGCGAATGAAAATGGAACCGGTGGTGCAACAGGACGAGCCCCCCTCCAGTACGGGAGGTAACGCGACCAACAACAATCCGGTGGGGTCCACGGGGGCGAACCACCACGCTGGGGGTTCGCCCAACAGCACGGGCCACACCAACAAGTACGAATACGACCGTGACAAAACCGACCTCATACCTACGACCCTGTGGAACTCAGTCACCGGGAAACTTAGCCACCACAAGCAATCTACCGTTAACACTCCTGATGGTGAGTAAACCGTAGGCCTGTAGGTTATCGCACTAGGTCTGTACATTAAGTAATGATACTGAAGCCACACAAGAAAGTCACTAGTAGTCGAGTCGGACGAATAAGGAGGCTGAGGAGCTTGGGTGATGTTTTTTTTGGTGTTCATGATGTTTGGTTTCAAGAAACTGCTGCTCGCTAAAGGTGTGGATTGACAGTTTGGGCTTGAGGTTGCATGATTCCGTGAATGGTTGAAGCGTGTAATTACACGTTGGTTTCTGAAACAAGCAAGACTCGTCAATCAAGGTTGGTGATGTCCTTTTGGTCTCGCGAAAGGTTTTTTGTTAGATTTTTCTTCTGGGGCCTTACAAGCTCCCGTATTCTGTAGACGCTGCTCTTGATAAGACACAAGACACCATGTCCAATCTTGAAGTACTCTCACCCTCCAAGTTCAGCGCCTCCAATGTCGCGAGTGTTATTACTTGACCTACAGGCTTCGTACCAAGGTGTGGAACAGCCTCGAACGTATTCATTTCCAGGCAAAAAATTGAAGTGTCCTTTCTGCGAGAGATTGTACGGGTACGAGACGAACTTGCGGGCCCACATCAGGCAGCGTCACCAGGGTATCAGGGTACCGTGTCCTTTTTGCTCCCGGACCTTCACCAGGAACAACACGGTCAGGCGGCACATAGCCAGGGAGCACAAGACCGAGCTGAGCCTCAAAGCTTTCCACAACCAGCAACAGCAGCAGCAGCAGCAGCAACAGCAGCAGCCGCAGCAAGTGTTGAATCCGTGAAAATTCACGGAGTCGTCGCGATGTAAATATTACGCGTTAGGGACAAGATGGTTCTAGGTGGCCCCCCCTGCACACCCCCGCCACTGTGTTGTCGCTAATCTAAGTAAGGGTTTTTTCGGAGACGTCGCAGGACCTATGGGAAAAAGCGCCACGGGTAATAATTGGAACGAAACGTTCTTTTGTTCTTTTTAAGTGTTTTTTCCCTTTTTTTTCAAAAAAAAAAAATCGTTGTAAGTTGTGAGAAAATTTATATTTTTCGTTGCCGGTTATGAATTCTCGGGGTTTTTTTCTGTTGTACTTATACATATATATATATAGACGATAGTTTAAGGGAGTTTACGATGAGAGGGGCGGCGACGTTTCGGACGCTACCGTCCCCCCTACCCCTCCGATTCCACGGGATGAAAATGAGGCCGCGTCCGTCGGCAACGCTGCGCGGTCGAAATTTTCTTCTTCCTTTTTATTGTCGTTACTTCGTATTTACCAGTCGTTATTCTTCGACGGTTTTCATTTTAATATATATTCCGAAATTTTTGTTTTAATTTTGATTTATTTTTTGAAACTGCCAAAAAACGAGTTATTTATCAAAATTTCCATTTAAATTTTGGACGTTTGCGTTTCAACTAAATTTCTGAAAACTCGTCATTACATAATTTCTGCGCTTTTTCATTTTATTTTCATTTTTACAAATTTTTTTGAAATTCACATTTTAATTTAATTTTTTGCGTTTTTCGATTGTTTAATTTAATTTTCTGTACTATTGAAAAAATCGTTTTTCTTTAAATTTTTAGTAACATGTTTTTTGACGTTCTCATTTCAATTCAATTTTCTTAAACTTTGAAGAAAATCGCCAACTTTTAGTTTTAACCAAATTTAATTTTAATTTTAGCTTAGCTTAGCTAAACTAAACAAAATAATGAAGAAAATCTTTATTTCAACTTATTTTTCGTCAACTTAATATATCCCTTTTTGAAATTGTAATTTTAGCTTTTTCTACTTTTTAATAATATGGTTTTTCGAAGTTCAGCTTCAACTTTAAAACTCGTTTTTTGAACTAATTTTTGGCTAACTTCAAAAAATCATTTATTGAAACTTTTTAGCTATTTTCTCATTTTTAATAACGTCGTTATTCGACGTTTTCATTTCAATTTCATGTTCTTAAAATCGTTTTTTAAACTTCGAAGATTTCAAAATTTTAATTTTAGCATTTCCTAATTTATAATATAATTGTTTTTCTACGTTCTTACTTCAATTTAATTTTCTGAAAATTTGAAGAAAATTGTTTTTCCAAAATTTATTTTTACGTTTTCAGTCAACTATTAATAAGTTCTTAATTTAACTTAATTTTGTTTTCTTTCTCTCTGTAAATTCTTTCTTCTAGATTTCCTTTTTTTTACAGTAATTAAGCGAAGCCGTTTAAAACTTCCGTTTTAGTTTTTTTTTTTTTGTTGCAATATCGTTTTTCCTTTCTACGAGTACGTTTTTCAAAAACAAATTTTCGAAACATTTTTAACTAAAGGAAATCGAATTTTTCCTCTTTTTTTAAAACATATATAAATATTAGATTCGGGTTTCAATATTCATTTTCTCTCCCTTGACTCTTTGCCAAAATCAGTGACGTAAAAACTCAAGCTGACGTTTCAACTGTCAAACGTCAAACGTTGCCGGTTACGGACGCGGCCCGCAGCTCAAAAGAAACAATCGCTTCCGGTGTCGACCGGGAAAAACCGAAATGGCCGTCCGCCGACGCCATTTTAAAACTTATAACTAGTCAAGTGCATTATCAATAGTAATACGTTCTCGCAGTATTTCTTTTAATTAAATAATTCAACGCATACGGGTAAATAGTTGCGTGACTTTTAACGCGCGCCACTGGCGCCGCATCAATCAGACTCTGGGATATTAAACCTACCTCATTTTTACATGACAACATTATTATATTATATACTTAGGCCGTTAAGGATTTATATTTTGTATTAGTTCGTATATATGATTATAGTTCGTTACGGGATTCCTACGCAACTACCTCCGTTTTTTACAGTATACTATATATATTTCTACAACTGGGTGTAAACTATCTACCTCCTCGACAACCGCAATAATAATTGTCATTAAACGTTTGTGTGTAAAGCGTGTGCGCCAGCGTGGCGTTGGTCGTTTGAGACGCCACCTACTGGCTGCCGCGCGAAACTCAGGATCGGGCCGCGTTCGACAATACCGATGACGTCACAGGCCAGTAAACGATGGAGGGAGTCTATCGCGAGACCTCTGGCGGAAACAAATATTACTTAAACAGTTGGTGCCCCTGGAACTTGGAAGCTTCTGCTCTAGAAAGATCCGCAGAACACGCGTCTAACCAGTCTCGCAAATTCCTTGGCAACGATATCTTTGTTCTACTTCTGCGTTGATATTGGTTTCTGCGCCATAGTCCAGAGCCTCTTTTTCATCTGAATGTCAGAGCAATAATATATTATATACTGCGATTGTCCTTTTGTCCATATAGTCCTTGCTGATTGTTGTTTTTAGTATTAATTATGCACTTTAAATTCGATAAAAATGGATTTTCCACATTTCCCACAGACCACAAACAAATGCTTTATTGCTGCTATCGATCACGTGGTTCCGGTCCAAAATACGCAGTTTTCCGTTCAAAATGCATCGGACGTTGTTATATCTTCAGTGATTTTCGCTAGATCGATATTTTTCGAATATCAAATGGATCGATTGTTATACAGGGTGTCCCTCAATTCATGCATCAGCGCTTGATCTTAACACAATTTTAAAATTTTAGTTTTAATTTGAACTTTATATAGTTCATTAATAACATTGTTTTGCGAAGTTTGCGTTTTATTTTCACGACTTTTAACTAAAGTCCATTTTGGATGTTAATGACACGGTTTTTCGGGGTTCTCATTTAAATTTAAGTTTCTTGAACTTTGAAGAAAATCTTTTTTTGAATTTACTTTTCGCCAACTTCAAAAAATCATTTTTTGAAATTTTAATTTAAGTTTTTTCCAATTTTTAATAATATTATTTTTTCCGCGTTCTCATTTCAATTTAATTTTCTTGATCTTTGAAGAAAATCGCTTTTTGAACTTAGTTTTCGCCAACTTCAAAAAATCATTTTTCGAAATTTTAATTGATTTTTTTCCAATTTTTAATAACATCGATTTTCCATGTTCTCATTTCAATTTAATTTTCTTAAACTTAGAAGAAATTCGTTTTTTGAGCTTAGTTTTATCAAACTTAAAAAAATCATTTTTCAAAATTTTAATTTGAACTTCTTCTAATTTTTAATAAAATCGTTTTTTGATATTCTTATTTCAATCTAATTTTCTTAAACTTAAAAAAAAAAAGCTTTTTTTAAACTTTTTCGAAAACTTAAAAAAAAATCCTTTTATGGAAATTTTAATTTTATCTTTTTCTAATTTTTAATTTAATTTTCTTAACTTTGAAGAAAATCATTTTTTCAGCTTCTATTTCGCAATTAACATCGTTATTGGCGTTCTTATTCTAATTTACGTTTTTTTAAACTTTGAAGAAAATCGTTTTATGGATTTCCATTTTGATTTTATGTTTGCCGGATGCCATTTTAATTTTGTCTTTTGTTTGTGTTGAAAAAAACAGTTTTTTCGAAAATTCATTTTAATATCATATTTGCCGCCCACTGTTCATAAGATTTTTGAAGTACCCATTTTAATTTTGTTTTTCCCATATGTTTTTGGTAAATTCTGGCTTTGGTATAATTTATTTTGTTTTAATATTGTTTTTTTCATGTACAAATCGCTTCGGAAGTATCCACACTGTTGTTTTTTAAATAAATATAATTTAATTAAAAATATATATTTTTCGCATTCACAAATGTCTTTCGCCGCTTGTATAGGGAATTTGGTGCGTTAATTTCATAACAGCCTGTATAAAGTTTTTCTTTTTTTGGCACCGCATTCAGGACCCCTTGGGTCGCGTTCGCCAAACTACCGGAACAACAAGTTTAAATAACAACTACCACTTTTTAATTCAATATTCAATATTCTCAAAAAAGTAAATAATAAGACACATCACTGTTCATTTTTTCTTTCTATTTGTCTTAGTGGTTATGTGTTTCTTTCTTCCTCGCATTTTTTCAGTTAAATAAAAAAACTCCTTGCTATTGGGCACATCCGTTGGTTATTAGATCCACGATTATCTGTGATATACTGAAAAAAAATAGAAGCTACATTTTAAGAAGCAACCGCTTCAACTGACCTCTAGCGTTCGCCTCAAACACCTGCTTATCATTGACCCAGTGCGCGCTTGTTTACTGTCCCGTGACGTCACCTCTAACGAAACAAACGCCGAACTGGCCCGAGACTACAGATCTGTCCCGTGAGAGCATATATATTTTTTTCTATCGTCGTTAAGTTGTTAGTTGCTAATAACGTGTAAGAGAGATCGCGAAACATTTCAGACCACGGAGCAAAGAGAGGTTCAATTTGTAATTTAATTTATTTCGACGGTGATATACGCTTTTCTTTGCTCCGTCGTCTGAGCTGGGGCCGGCCATGAACGGGGTGACTCGCAGTACCGGTTTTCAAAAGATTTTCATCAAGAAAACTTTTCGGAATATTATGAGTTCTTACATCGAAGTTGCTCGGAATTTGTTTTGTGCCAAAAATGTGAAATGTGCAGTTTTAATCCTTTCTAGGTCGTAACTTAGCTGAGTCGCTGCAGCTATTCCTTTTGAACCGAGATAAAGTGGTTTTATCATCGGCAGGATTAAAACTCTCATAATTTAATAGTCAAACCAAACAAACTTGACACACTTTTGGAGATAATGTAAGCCATGTGCGATGCCTTTGGGAATCTACATCAGATAATGGGGGAAGGTCGCCTCTATTGGAGGTTTTTGCTTTTTCGATTCTAGGGACGACACGGAACAATATTATAAAATTTTATTTGCATATGATAGGTTACACGCCCGCTGTAGTTTACATGCTTTTCTCTGACTGGGTAATTTTAGCTAAATTTAAAATATTTAGTTGGTTATAGAAAAGTTTGTATTCTTCTACAGAGTAAAAACATTGCTACAAAAAAATTATTCTGATTTTAAAATTTTTAAATAGCAAGTTTGTGAATTGATTTGGAAATAGATTGTATAAACTTAGGTCAAGAGAATTTTTCATGCTCTTGTGAGTTTTATTCTCATTCAGTTTTAAGTGATCTTTTAAATCTTTAGGCATATCAGCTTGCTCCATCGATCACGCTTCATTTTCTTTTCAACAAGAGACATTCTGCTTTAATTTAATAGAGACAACGTAAAAGAGACAACGTAATCTTCAATGGTCGTCTAATTTGGACCAGTCCATTTTGGGCAACCAGGTGCTGGTCTAATTTAAGACATCAGTTTGAAATATCAAACATAAATTCACAAAACTGACTCTTATACTGGCGGATATAAGCTATACCTATAGATGATATTACTTGGGACTAAGAGAAACGGAACCAGTTGTACTTAGCATTTAATAATTTGACTAGTACGCTCATATTCAGTGACGGATTCATGCATTTTCTCTGTAATATCTCAGGGTTTCCCATGATGATATGCGAATATTTAAGTCCATGCAATAAAAACCTAATTTGACAGGAGTGAATATACGAGTAAACCACATTTGATTTGTATTTACGATGAAACATCTTCATCATCAGAGCCTTATATTTTCTGAAAGTGTTATACAACGGATCCAATTTTCTTTGGTTTCATCGTGCTTTATCTCACTTACAATTTCTGTCAATTTTTAACAACACAACACACATTGCAATAGCCACATCTCACAGACGCATCGATTCGCACAGATTATCGA